AATTATTTTATTTTGTATACTATATTATAACATAGGTATTTATCGAAAATTGAGATTTTTAAGTGGTACCATAACTTAAGTCATTTTTCCAAAATTTAAATTTTACTAATCAAAAATAAAAACATAAATTTGACAACGTTGCACAGTAAATCGTACGCAATCGTTAGACTTTTGGGGTAAATATTAAAGTTAATGGTTTAACGTACGCAATCGTGTTTTCAAAMAGGAACATTGTAYGCAATCGTGTGGTACCCCGGGGCGGTAAAACACGCAATTCCGGGGTGATTAAAAGGTACGTTTGATTCCCGGGTCATCAAGAAGTATGTACGAGTTGATTCCTAAAYCATTATATATTATTTTCAATGTTTAGTAAAATATTTAGCCTATTCGCATAACTCAAGAAACACCACGAGGAGGTTGGCTGACAAGTTKCTCAAAAATGTTGTTTTTTTAGTTTTGTCATAGGTATTTTGAAAATCATTCAATTTTTATTTATTAATTATTTTTTGTATTATATTATATTATATTTATAATTTATTAAAAAAATTATGAAAAAAATTTAGTAATTAGGTAGAAGATCCAAAAAAGTTTAGTAATTTAGTAAAAAAATATAAAAAATTTAGTAATTTGGTAAAAATGTCCATCACATTGTTCTTATAAATTARTATCTACAGAGGGGATTTATTGATTCCGCCAAAATTACTTGCTTAGGAAAAAGGTTTATATTGATTCCGCCGTCTACTGTTTATAATATCTATACATTGATTCCGCCGGACACTGTTCATCCCCCCCCACCACCAATTGTATATCTATTTTAAAATGTAAAATGTAACTAATTTTGATCAAATTTTATAATATTTTCATAAAATTTGATCACATGTCTAAATTGAATAAAACTATAATAATTATATAATTCAAAATGAAAATGCATAATCTAATTAATATGTGAATATATTATAAAATGTACAATCTAAATTTCTCAATGATTATGATCCCTATGACCTAATAATGAACTGGGAATCAACTCACCTACATATATATCGCGGATAATTTGTATTTACGTTTTTCGGGTGAGATAAATTTAGGTATCAATTAGTAATAACAATTGTATATAGGAAATAATAAGCTATTTGTAAATATTATGTTTGAGATTTCTCGCTTAACCATCTTTGGGATTTTACATTAAACCTCTAATCCCGAGACTGGCGATCAATCGAAGTTCTACTGTACTAAACAAGAATACAAGTCCGATCAAACAGTATATAGTATACACTATACACCCATCGCTATGGCCATCATACTTCAAGGATCAAACCCAGGGTTGGTCTATGCCACCGGGACACCGGGATTTTCCCGGTAGAACGCCATGAAAATGAACTTATGGAGGCTGCAGTAGGCTATTTTGGGGCTGGTAATAAGCAGTGCGGGTGCTTATGTTAAATGTAAATAAAACTAATAATATTTAACTGTTGTGATAACMATACCTACCTATAGCCAAAACTATATGTTATGTAACGTTAAATATAAAAGACTGAAGACGAGGATGTTATTATATTTATTTTAATGTAAATAAATATAATTTGT